CTACGTTACCCTGAGGTCTCTCACCAAACATTTTGCGCTGATAGAGACATCAAGAGTAATGTTTGTCACTGCTATTCTTGCCCAAGGCTTTTTCTGGCTTCTGTTAAAATAGAAGCACCACAAATTACATGCTCCAACATGTTCACATTCTTGGCAAAGCAACTGAAAAATCTTGGGGGTCAAAGTGGTGATAGAGTATCCACCAAATAGATATTTTATACCTTCACTTTATAAATTACCAAAGAATGTGCAACTAGAATCAGAAAGTCTGAACAAGTTTTGCAAGGTGGTTTTGAACATTTGCGTATGAGAAACAAAAAAAAAAAACACTACTTATTGAAGGAATTTAGGTAGCTCATATATTCTACAAAAAGAGTTTAGGAAGCTATAGGAAGAAAGAAAATTCATGGAGATTAAACTTTGACTTCAAGTTTCTCATTTGGAAAGTAGAGATCTAATAGTTAACATATCGTTGTTGTAAAGAACAAATAAGATTATATATAGAAAAACATCTCATGCCTAAGAGGTATTCTATACTAAGAGGTACTCTGTAAGCCTTGGTGGAGTCTGAAGTTTTGCAAAGACTGACAATAACCACCGGATACTGCTTTTTTTTTCCCCTAAGCCAGTTTTTATAGCTCCAATAGAGGTAATCAAGAAACAACCAGTGGGCTAGGAAGGTGGCTCAGTGGTAGAGCACTTGCCTTGCATGCCTGAGGTCCTGGGTTCGATTCCTCAATACCACATAAGCAGAAAAAAAAGCCAGAAGTGGCGCTGTGGCTCAAGTGGTAGAGTCTAGCCTTGAGCTGAAGAGCTGAGGGACAGCGCCCAGGCCCAGAGTTCAGGCCCCACAACCAGACCCCCCCAAAAAAAGAAACAACCAGTCCTCCTCAAATAGTGACAGGCACAGACTCTTCTTTGCTTTGTAGACGAGTTATTCTCCCGTAGTGGATTGAGATTGAGATAGTTGGTTAAAAACTTCTAAGAACCAATATGTGTAACAAAGGCCCTGAATCTGCCTATTAGGAAGGTGCACTCTGTAAATGGATGGTTCACGTAAAGCATTTTCTTTGCTTTTGAGACAGACTTACTGTTGTAGAATTGTTTTATTAAAAAAAAAACTATTCTGTGCTAAGCATGGAGACAAGGATATGCTTTTAGATGCTGTTCTCCCTTCTTGATCCTTACTGTCCTTCATCAATCCTTCATACCCTGGGGTGTACACTAAAGCTTACAGGCATCAACTACGAACAGGGGTAGCACTCAGCAATAAATGTTCATAGCAAACTCAATCATGCTCTTCATATAATAAACAAGCACTTTTTAAAACATGTTTAAATGCAATTCTGATAACATTCTCTACGTTGGAAAGAGGCAAAGTAATATATTTGAAGAGGGAAACATCAAAACCCTTGAGCCAGAAACTACTCTTTCAAATGCCTACCTCATTAAAGATTAAAGAAGATGAACTGGTCTCACTGGAGTAAAATAATTAAATAGGTCTAATTCCTAATACATGTCAAGTAGAATTAAAGCTATAAAATTCAAATGGACCTAGTGATGTTTTCACAGAAAAATCATCTAAGTAACTGCCAGGGGTCCTATGAGTTTTGTGCAGAATGGTCCACAGGCCTGGAAGACCAGTAAAGCTCCTAACTTTAAAAGTGGGGTTTTTCCAATACAAAAGAAAGAGTAAAATGTATCATTCATAATTTGATGGGGGAACAAGAACCAGCATATATTTCTGTTTTGTTTTCAAACATGTTCACTCCTTGTTTTCACCTGACTATGAGAGTAAAATTGCTTTGAGGGGTAACAACACAAAAAAGAGGAAAATGGTTACAGGAGGGGAAATAGTTATCGTAGGTTTTACATGTGTGTGTGTGTGTGTGTGTGTGTGTGTGTGCTGGTCCTGGGGCTTAAACTCAAGGCCTGGGTGCTGTCCCTGAGCTTCTTTTGCTCAAGGCTAGCACTCTACCAGTTTGAGCAACAGCACCAGCAGCTTTTTCTAAGTCGTTTATTGGAGATAAGAGTCTCACATACTTTCCTGCCCGGGCTGTCTTTGAACCACAATCCCCAGATCTCAGCCTCCTGAGTAGCTAGGATGACAGGTGTGAGCCACCAGCACGTGGCTAGTTATTATTTTATATCCCAGTCACATCAGCAACAGGACATGATAATATGACAACTCCCTGCATCCACACCGTCTCCTCCCCTCCCCCTACCCAGCTGTAAGGACAGAGCCAAAGCAAGGAATATGGCAAACAGTGAGTATATCAAAAAGAGGAGGCAGAAAGACAGGTGGCCTTTTCAGGAAGGAAAGGGAATCTGTTCAGATGTCAGGAATCAAGAGAGATGGGTGGAAGACTCTACCTAGAGAATATGGGAAGAGGGAAGTACAGTGACTGACTGCTGGAGAGGAAATTGTCAGGAATTACAAAACTGTCTTTTGACAGCTGAGTGGTAATCGCATAACCCTCCCACCTTTGGTGCACCTTCCGTAATACCTACACAACTGAGAGTGCTCTATTGAGTTAGTTTCCTGTTGGAAAAGCTCACAACTGCCCCAGAAATGAGAGCGCTACCAAGAGTCCAGGTCACACTTGGGTTGCTCTGGGTTGGTTTTAAAGGGTCACTCCAGCAATGGAGCACCAGCTCTTCCAAGTTCTCCTTATTGTTACCAGGTTATTTCATTTCATTTCACTGGCAGCACTGGGCTTTGAACTCAGACTCATGCTTCCTAGGCAGGCACCCTATCACTTGAACCATGCCCTAAGTCCTTCTTTGCTTTGGTTGTTTTTCAGATAGAGTCTTGCACATTTGCCCAGGGCTGCCCTTTAACCTTGATACTCCTACCTAAGCATCCCCTGTAACTGGGAGTACCACACTTGACTTGTTTTGTTGAGATGGGGGTCACATTAACTTTTTTTCTGGTCTAGCATCACACTTTGATCATCCAGATCTCTACCTTCTGGGTAGCTAGGATTGCTTCTAGACTTTTAACCCAGAGGATCTAGTACTAAGAGCAAAAGCAACCAGAAAGGAGCATACTCAAAACCAGAAAGGGCTACTAGGTATAGGATACAGTGAGAACAGCCCTAACCTGAACAGGCAAATTCCAAAATGCCCCCAAAATCCAAAACTTTTTGAGTACTGATATATCACAATGAAAGATTTTTTCCACAAAACACTAGGATGGGTCCCAGTCAAACCACAGGTGCAATAAAAAAATTTAACCTTCAGGCTGTGAGCTTAAAACTAGATGAAACATAGTTTATGTTTAGAAAGAGGTCTCATCCCTGAGCCATCTCATTATGTATAAGCAAATAGTCCAAATCCAAAAACATCTTGAGATCTACACATTTAGGATAAGGGTTATTTTTGGTAAAGGGTTTTGGTTAGTTTGGATAAAGAGATTGCTCACCTCTCCTAAAGGCTTCAAAATCAGCATTTGGGGAGAACGATGTGGTGATCAAGCAAAATAAATGAGTAAAGGACTCAAGATCACTAAGAAACTTGTCAAACTGGACTGTGAAGTTATGTGAATAACTCAAGTGAGGAGTAGTTCAGTTTGGAGAGATCGGCCACTGAGCAAAAGGATCAGGTACCAAGTTCAAGTCCAGTCTCAGACAAAAAAAGAAGAAGAAAAAAAATAAAGAACTCAAGTAAATGGCTGACAAAGATCAGTCTCCGGGTACTTTAGGCAGAATCATTTTCTTTGCCTAGAATCACCATATGTCCCCTACAGCAAATTAAAATGGCAAAAATTAGCCATTTTCTGAAAAAGTAACAATAATTGGTGTGTTCAACTGAGCTATCATTGCTAGATCATCTAGAACTATGTATACAGCTATTTTTCTCACAGGTCAACCCAACCATTTAATACACAATAATTATCTGTAATTAAAATCTGTTAGATGACAAGAGGCAGACAGGCAGTGGAGATCAGAGGAAGATTCCCAAGTCTTGGGAAAAAAAAAACACAAGAAATTCTCTCTGTGGAATTTATCGTTAAATCATTAACCCAATCAAAGACAAAATTCCAAAAGGCTTGGAGGCAGCCACAGCCAAGAACAGGGAGCAGTCCTTTTCCCAGACTCTAGAACTCCTTAAAAAGAGGAGCTGTTGGGGGGAGGGTTAATTTTTTGAGTTCTAAGTATATTTTAGATATGAAAGCCTTGTCTGTTGTATGGCTAGTGAAGATCTCCCAATCCATGGGCTTTCTACTGATCTTGCTAGCTACATCCTTTGCCATGCAGAAGCTCTGCAGTTTCATGCAATCCCATTTGTCCAAACTTTCTTTAATTTGTTGTGTTTCTGGGTCTTTATTAAGAAAATTTCAGCCTTTGCCAAGGAGCGCTAGAGTTTCAAGGACTTGGAAAAAATGATATTAAGTGAAGTAAGCCAGACCCAAAGAACATAGGTCCCATGGCTTCCCTTATTTGTAATATCTGGTATGCATCTAGGATAATCTTAGCAGATGAGCAGAATAGCTCAATAGCTATGTACATATGACCATATAAGATGATGCTGAGTGAAATGAGCTCCAAGACATGGACACAAGATGTTTTTCTTGTTGTTGTCATTCTCAATGTACTACATGATTTTTTTTCTTTTGTGCTTTTCCCCCTATGGTTTATTCCTGTTGTCACTATATTCGATTTTGTACCCTGGGCATTATGTATACGTTTATCTGAACTAGGGAAGGTAGGGGAACAACAAAATGATGAGACAAAGGACAAAGGAACCTATGCAACAGCAATGCTCACAAGACAATAAGAGAAATGGGGGAAAACAAAAAATAGGAGCTGTGCTACACTATAAGGGTTGGAAGTCCTGGCAACACAGCCAGATAACCAGAAGAACCCATGAGGAATCCAGCCTGACTCTGAAGTTCTAGAAGTACACAATGTACCCCACTCGGCATCCAGCTCAGTCTCCTCTCTTTGGCAACTCTCTGAGATAATATGGAGGAAATCAACCTTCCACGACCTCCTTACCTGCAGCTGCTGGTCTAATTCTGGAAAGACCAAAGGAATGGAGTCTTCAGGAGGTGGATCATCTAAAACAAGAACATAATGAAAGTTGGCTTTTTTGTTTGTTTGTTTTTGTCTTATAAGAGCCTCTTTGCAGGGACCAGGTTTGTACCGACGTGGTTAAGCGATCAGTATCTGGTGCTGAAGTCATTTTCATTACTTCATTTGAGGAAAGACAGAATGTAGAAGACAATTTGACTTATTTTCTATAGACACAAAGATGTGGGTTACATAGCCTGACCAAACTGAGGGCAAAATTTATATGTATATTTTATGTGTATGTATACTGGAATCTTCACATGTCCAGTCTACTAAATCTCCAATTAAAAGCTACTTAATATTCTCACACTGGCCAAAACCAAAAATTCTGACACACAGTATAATGCTTAAACAAGGTGTTAGTAAGGCAGCCAGAACAAGTTCAATGGAGCAGAAGAACACACTAGTGGAAACAAGCATTCCTCTCTGAATGCCTGCAAGTGCTGAAGCGTTAATGCTCTTGCTGTCTGCTTTTACCACAACAAACCAATAACAGGCAATAGACCAGGAACTCATTCTGGGTTCACTGGGTAGCAGGCAACAACTCAAACAGGGTATTTCTTCCTGGTATGCCAGGCAGCAGTTCCAACCTGCAACAGAACCCATGTCTCTGTTGAAGGAGACCCTGAACCCCAACAGCTGTGGCAATCCTGTCCACAGATCCGAGTGTGGTTCTCAACAGGTACTTAACTCTCTCTCAATCAAAAGATACATCCTTGGAAACAGAGGCCTACTCAAGTGGTAGAGCACCAGCCTTGAGCATAAAAAGCCAAGCAAGAGTATGAGACCTTATATTAAGTCCCAGTACCAATGCACACATATGCACACAAGTGAGCACGTGCGCCACACACACACACACAAACAAGGCATTCTCAGTAGCATCTGAGGAAACTTGACAAAAAATTGGCTTGAAATATCCAAGCCACCTCCAGCTCTCTTCAGTATAGTTTGTTGACGTATAGATTGTTCACTCGGCCCTGAAGCCAAAGAGCAGTCCATTGATGGGCAGAACCTCTGTCTCTCCAGGATAACTGGCTCTGAGGGACCTTTGCCTATTCATTTCCAATTCCTACCCCAATACATGACTATAAGAATACAACATAACCCATACTCCAAGAATAATTTAAAACAAAAGCCATTTTAGGGGTTGGGAAGGTGGCTCAGTGGTAGAGTGCATGCCTTGCATGCATGAAGCCCTGAGTTCAATTCCTCAGTACCACATATACAGAAAAAGCCAGAAGTGGCGCTGTGGCTCAAGTGGTAGAGTGCTCACCTTGAGCACAGAGAAGCTCAGGGACAGCACCCAGGCCCTGAGTTCAAGCCCCAGGACTGGCCAAAAAAAAAAAATAAAAGCCACTTTAAATTGTAATAAAGCAAGGAAAGGTCATTGCTTTTATAGTATCATGAACATAATTAAATTTACTGATAAAATGGACTGATATTCTTTTTTAACTACAGGAAATGATTCAGACTGTACACAGTGAAGAAACAAGTACAGTCATTTTTCCCATCCAAGGAGGCTTGGTTCTAGGACTCCTCCACCAAAATCTGAGGATACTCAGTTCCTTATATAAAATGAAGTATTTGCATGTAACGTAATCGCAGCCGCCCCTCCCCCCCCATATGACTTGAAATCACCTCTAGGTTACTTCCAACACCTACCCAATGAAATTGCTGATGTAAGCTGTTGTACTGTATAGTTTAGGAGGAAAATGAAAAGAAAACCTGCTCAAGTTCAATACAGACACGGTTGTGTTTTTAACAATGTCTTTCATATGGTTGAATCTGAAGATGCAGAACTCACAAATATGGAGGGCCAACTGTATTTGCTCCTATCTCACTGACAGCACAGTTGAAAATAAAATGTGGTACCCAAAGCATTCTGGTCTTCTAAGGAATTACATCTCTTTGAAGATAATCACCAGAGAGATTTAACAACACAAGGATGGTCTTAACCTCTGCCAAACACCTCAAGGGGATTGTCAGTTAATAGCATTTGGTATATTTTAGTCCAGCACATATAATAATACTCTCATCTAAAAGTGACTTAAAATAACGGCAATAGGTCACAAAGCTGAATCCATTCTGGACCTGCACCTGTGCTTCTCAATGGATACCCATGGGCTTGCTGACATTGCTTAACTGAACTTCACAGAAGGTTCATTTCAGGCTCTTTGAATGCTCTTTTCTTACTCAGAAGCAAAGAGAAAGAAATCTAGCCAATGACTGTGACTTTTCAAAACCACTCCATCACTTGCAAAGAAGTGAACAAAAAACAGAAATATCCACTGTCAGTACCAGGCCCATTACACAGTATGCCTTCATTGTTAAGATTTATCACTGTACTTTGTAAAACTGGTACATTTAGTTTACTTCAGTACAATTTCAAAAACCTAGACACCATGATTATTTTAGGCTCTTCAGGCCAAGGCCAAAGGAATTTGGCACAGGTAAAGAGGAACGTATTATAGTTTGGCATCCCAACCCTAGTAATCATAGACGAGTAAGCACTTGTTGGAAGGCCAAACCACTTCCGTAAAATGCCTCACAGACAGGGTGTTCTAGAATTCAACAAGATACTCAGGAATGGAGCTCAATGCTTCCTGACACTTAATCCACCAGATCCTCTATGATGTTGTTTGCCCATTGACTTTCCTATAGTAATGTAAATAGCAAATCCCTAGTATGTCCCAGAATTAATGGGTTCAGCATAGAAATCTCCATCATTACTTATAGTTACAATGTTGATAGATATACCATGCATAGATATAATATATGGGATCATAATGATACTTTTACAGATAAATGAAGGCTTAACTACATTGGACTATCAGAAATAACAGTTGAATGTAAGAGTTGAAATGAAAGTTGAATTGATTGACATAAAAATAAGCACATAATGAATCTTTTCTAGACAAGCAAAATGAAAGCAATACTGTTAAAGAATGGATTAAATTGGATTAACCAAAACAGGAAATGGTCCTGAAAACAAGAAAACCAAAGGCAGATGTAAGGAGACTGAGTCTGAGAGCCAGCCCTGCAACTCCCTGCTTGCTGCCTGCCATCTGGTTTAGCTGGCAGACCTGCCTGCCAGAAATTTCAAGGCTTGAAAAGCTGCTCACAAATCTGCCCCACACTGACGTGTGGGGTGTTTGCTTTTAAATAGTACTGCCTTCTTTGACTGGTGTTAAAAATAGGCAAATATTCTAAAAGCAGAATGATGAATCACAGGATTGGGCTACAAGGAAAGAAAGAAAATGATTCAGGCAGACTAGTAGCACAGCTGCTCTAACAACATTTGGCCAAATTGTAAAATATTTTGATGGTGATCCTAGAGTAGAGTCTCTGGGAGTAGTTTGGTTTGTTTTGACAATTGCAGAAACATAAAGAAGACAAAACCTAGTACCTAGTACCTTTATCAAAAGCCCCTGGGCATATTTACCTTTCTTATCTTGGAGGGGGAGGGAGAAAGAGAGAGAGAGAGAGAGAGAGATCCCAGTGCAAGTACATTTTTAGCAAAATTTACTGACCACATACTATTGTATGTATGTGTACTGGTACTGGGGTTTGAATTTGGGCTTAGGCGCTGTCTCTTAGACTTTGCACTGAAGACTAGCACCGTGGCCAGTTGAGCCACAGCTCCACTTCTGGCTTTTTGTTCATTAGTTGGAGGTAAGAATCTCACAGACTTCCAGCCTAAACTGTCTTTGAACTACAGTACAATTCTCAGATCTTTTGGCCTCCAAATTAGCTAGGATTATAGGCATGAGTTCCCAGCTCCCACTACATACTTTTGAATGTTTATCATATGCAAAAGAAGGACTCAGAGATAAGATGATGTTAAGCGAAATGAACCCCAAGATAAGGACACAAGTAGTTTTTTCTTTCTTGCTATTGTTTCTAACGTTTCTATAAGGTAACATGTGATTTTTTTGATGCTTTGTATGTCCCTTCCCTATGGTATAACCCCTGTTTTCACTGTATTTGATGTTGGTATAATTTGGGGAGGGAAAGGGAAAAAATTGTTTAATTAGGGATACAGTTTGACCCATTGCAAAAATGAGACACTATGTCGAAAAACGAACTTTACAATTTAGGTAGGGAGGGGGTGGTGGTTGGAGGGAGTGTAGTTGTGGAGATTGGAGGGAAGGGATGGTAGGGGAAAACAAAGGAGGAGGCAACAATGCTTGATAAGAAATGTACTCATTACCTTGCTCATGTATTGTAATCCCTCTGTACAGTATTTTCACAATAAAAAACTTATTTAAAAAAAAAAAGAAAGAGGGACTCAGGGTTGTATGCTAAGTTGGAAAACCATTTTATCACAATATAATGTATTAAGGCATTAATTTGTAAGGCCCTCCTCCCTTCCAAACTAGCACTATGGAATTAATGGGCCAAACAAGATATAACCCAAAGGAATTTCTCAAGGGATAAAATATAAAGGAAATGTTAAAGAGGAATTTTATTTGGAGTAAGCAGATGTTCACTGCCTGTTTGGCAAACACAATGCGAGTAAGCCAATGGTCCTTAAGATAGAACTCTCTTGTTGGTATCCCAACCATTATGACATACCATAGTACATTCTCTCATGGGCTCATCTCAGCATCTACTGAGCAGCTGTTGAGTTGCTTTTGTGACTATTCTGTTTTCAGATTCCCTTAAACTGTCTCCTCTGGTTTTCCACGAAGTAGACAAATGTGACACATTGGTCTGTAACCCAAAGCCTCTCTCAATGAGGTTTGCGATCTCAGTTATTAGAAAACTTAAAATTATTAGTAGCTGAAGATACAAGGAGCTGAGTGGACATTAAGTCCCCTCGAAGAACAAGGCCCCAAGAAAAGGAACCCCAACACTTCTCGAGTGTCCATGTGAAACTGAAGTGTCTGACCGCTCCTGGGACCCCCTCCATCATACCACTCTGACCTTCTTTACCTTTTGGTCCTTGGGCTCTCCACATGTATGTTTTAAACCTACTCAAGTTTTC